CAGCGTCAATTTGTTTAGAATCACATGCATTCCTCAATTTATTTTTTTTTTTAGTGTTCTTTGTTGCCTTTATTAATTGTTAGTACTCAAAAATTTATGTTAGTATGAACTATTTCTATATTTCAGCATAACTTCAAGCATAAAAGAAAGATTTTGTATGTATTAGGTTTATACTAATATAAAGTTTTGCCTTTACACCACCATTTCTTTTGTTTTTGTTTGTGGTGATGTTAAACAATTTAATTTTATTGGTGTAGAAACCTGACCCTGCGGATTGGCTGAATTTCTCAAACACTTGAATGAAGTAATCATAAATGCAAAATAAAGTTTGTTCCATAGTATTAATTAATTTGTTGTACTCTCTCTCTCCCTCTCTCTCTCGATTTTTCTATTTTTAGAAGAAACTACTAAACAAGACTCTAAAATTAGTTTTCATTTTTAAAACTTTATATATATGACTATATTTATCGATTTAAACCTATAAAGATAAATTTAATTAGAGTTTATTTCCTAATTAAGAGATCCTTTTTTTTTTTTTGTTAATTTATTAGTAAATATAATTTGTAAATTATAATATACTAATAAAACAATCCTTTCAAAATAATAATAATAAAGCAACTCACGCTTAGCATGAGACTTGACCTAGTTCATTAATATTTACAGAATGAGAGGACTCAAATTTCACTGTTATATTACCTGGAATCATAAACTTTTTATCAAATGGTTAAGTATGGAACATAATCTGTTAGTTATATAATAGCCAATTTTATTGGTTATATTTTGGGTATAATATTTTATGTAATAAATATTTTATTATTAATAAGAGGTATTTATTTATCTTTGATATTCTATTGATTGAATCTTGTAAAAGATAAATGTAATAAATATTTTATTATTAATAAGAGGTATTTATTTATCTTTGATATTCTATTGATTGAATCTTGTAAAAGATAAAGTCCATAAGACAATACTACTTTGCGAAATAAATTACAATATAGTTATAATTATGAGTTCTATATTTACATTAAAGCAATGTCTCTAAATATTCCTGGTCAATGTTCTCCTCATTATTAGACGATGATTTGAGCTATTGAAACTGGTAAATATTATGTTCTTTTCTTAGGAAAGCAGTTGTTCTCATAGGTTGAGATATATGTGATATCTAGAACTAATATATAGGTGCTTGTTATTTAAACAAGTCTATTGAATTGACCTGCATGAGAATTCCATATGGAAAATTACTTGTGTCTATGGAATACTTAAGTGATGGTTGCGTAAGTGAACATTTAACTTGAAGTTACTAAGCTATCTTGTATGGGATGACTATGTTTTGGTTTTTCGTTCACACTATTCATTCATAAATAATAAACAATAATTTTTTGGACATAGAAGGAATTGTATGGAGATATTTGTGTAATTAAGAGAGGATTCATCACTCTAGGTAAATCATGAAAAATGTTCTAATTGTTCTCTGTTAGTATTGGTTAAGAAATCCTTGCGCTAGGTAGAATAAAATTAGCAAATGATCAATGGCTAAGATTAAGAGAATTAACATGATTTAGTAAAGTAGACACACTCCATGTCTAATTACTAAATCAGAACATTAATGATGAAGGGATATTAATTATACTGATAAATTATGCACTGAAAGGTTAAGTCAAATCACTTTGACTTTCTAAATATTTGGGTGGTCTTGACATATTGCTAAACAATGTATTTGACCTTCAAATAGTAATTAATTAATTTAATTTACATTTGTTGCCAACATATTTAGAACCTAAAAGGTCACACACATAAGAATGAATATGAAAAAGATAAATGGAATCAAGCATGACTTGATTATAAAAAAGTTTTAGGACATTAAGGACAAAATTGTAATTTATATTTAATTACAATTTTACTTAAATTATTAAATATTGACTTAATTGATTTATGTCTAAATTTTATTAACATAAATTTTAAATTAAATAAACCTAATATTTTAATTATATAAATTAAATTAAATAAACCTAATATTTTAATTATGATTTATTATTAAATAGTTAAATAATAAATAATTATACTGATTAAATTGAAAATCCTTATTTACTATAGTATTGCTTTTGATTTATTTTTTTAAATTGGTTTTAAATAAATTTATAAATAGAAATTGTTTAAATAAATAAATAGACACATATATATTTTAGTTATAATTTATTTATTTAAAATGTTTAAATAAATAATTATAATTAATTTTATTTATGACTTAGAGTTTTCATATATAAGGTTTAAGAGACAATCTAAAGATAGCAATTATTGTTTATAGCCACAAAACAAAATATAGAACATAAGATAGTTAGCACCTAATCTCTCAACCTTCTAAGATAGTTTTAGAGTTTTTTTTATTGTTTATTCGTATAGATACCACTAGAGGCCAGACACTTGGACGACTTGTGGTTTGTGACAACTTAGCTGCGTAGATCGAAGTTTCAAAGAATCTACAGAAGAAGTATTCTTCTAAACAATTTTATTACTTTAATTGTTTAAATAGATTCTTGTTGGTATAATTATATTTGTTGTATTTTTCTCTTTCTATTGCCTATTACGGATATTGAAACGGAACATAATCAAATAAAATACTCCCTCCGAAACTTACAAAATTATTAACATTATATTCTCATAAATCTAATTAGCAAGGCGCGTAAATTTCAATTCTCCTTCTGTGCGCGGATCTATAAAATATTTCGAAATGATATTTTAAATCATTAAAAAATATTTTTTATTGCTAGATTAATTAATATATTATTGAAAATTAATTTTTTGTCTCTCATCCAATTTTCTCTCCACAAATTCATATCGGATTCGGATATTTTCAAAAGACAATCTCCTCTCCCCTCTCTCATCTGGCTGCCAAACTCTCTGTTTCTCACGTATCTTTCTGTTTCTTTAACAATTGGGTTTGGCGTCCTCTTTCTTTTATTGTGGTTTTAATTTCTTTTTTTTTTTTTCTTTAATTGCCAATCATTTTCTATTTTTTTTCTCCTGAGTAACTCTACTTCTTAATTTTTTTTTTTTTTTTTTTTGTTTCTCCTGAGTAACTCTACTTCTTAAGATCCGTTTTGTCTCTTTGTTTTTCTTTTTTCAGTTTAATTTTGAATAAAAAATTTAAAGAAACGAAAGGGGAGAGAGAAAAGAGGGTTGATGTTATTCGAGGCTCAGATCTGAAGAACTTAAGGTAGTTTCATCTAATGTCTCTTAGTTTATTGGTTTTTTTATGACTTTTTAGCAAAAAACCCACTTGCTTCTTTGACAATGGCGGTGGTATTGGATCCAAAAGGGATTGCTGGCCAATAACAGGAGCGATTCCATCAAGAATGGGCAGCGATTGAGTTTGGATTTCAGTTGGAAAAGAACAAAATGAGGACCAATTTTTGATTGTTCAAGGCGTTTTATTGTTGTACCTGGCAAAGATTCATGTGTTGTTGATGGAAGAACAATAAATGAGTTTCAAAATTATTAATTAATTATTAATAAAAGTATTAATTAATTAATTAAATTATGCACATAAATCAACGTGTCAAACTAAAAGAATGTGCAAATGATCAAAAAAATTAAAAGAAGTTATCTTTTTCCAACATGACATTCATCGTGGCAAAATCATCTATAATGCTCTCTGGTTGATCTTATAAACCACTATTTGACTCCTTCAAATTTTTAAAACTTTTTTTTGACATTTCTAATGGCAATAATGCATAATATCGTTAATAAATAAATGTAGGAATATTCCTTCAGAAAAAAAAAAATAAGAACATGAAAAATTCATTGTTTATTTAATTAATATAAACTACTTTCTAATTAACATACCTTAATTTGTTCGTACTTCTTATTTAATTTCTTTTTAGTTGTTTTTTTTTTTTTTTTTTTTTTTAATATTACAGAGAGAACTCAAATTCGAATGTACATATCTATATTAAACTATGTTAAATATGTACTTACCTTTGAAATAATAGTTATATTAATAAATAATTTTATATATATTTTTTCTTTTTTGAGTAGAGGAACGGAAATTAAATTTGGATCTATTGTCAAGTCGTACATACACTCACAATTGGACTATGCCTTCGGATGCAATTGGTTATACAACCTAGATAATCTAGATTAAAGAACTTAAACAATGCTTGAGTAAAGATAGTAATATTGTAAATAAATAAATAAATAAGTAGAAATATTAATGTGCTTTGAATTATTGTAATAAATATCCACTGCTCATTTTATTTTGTTTGCAATATTGTTGTTAATAATGCTCTGTTTTCACCAACAGGTTTAATGGTGATTCATCTTAAATCTATTAAATTTGTCACTTCTCCTCAATTTGACTGTTGCACGATATAAAGGGCATTTATATTCTGCTTTGGCAAGTGTAGCACTTGTCATTTGATTAATTTATCTTTCATTTGACTGCACTTTTTCTCATTGTCTAACAGCAAAATACAACAAAAATAGGCGAAGGATGAAAGCATAATTTAAAAACTCCGGAGTCACTTTTTAAAAATAATAGAACGTATGTGTTAATATTGCTATAATTTAAGGACCTGTTTATATTTTTCCCTTCTAAGTTTATGATCTGGTTGTGAATTACTTAAAAATAGAATTAAGCTCTTGAAATTCAACACTCTTAAAAGCTCTTCTACGATATATGGGTTTCAAATTAACCCAATGGCCTTTCAAACAATTGAGTTGAAAAATAAGGTAGCTGCCACCTACTACAATAATGGAATCACCTTCTCATTCTTATATTTACACCAAAAAACCAAAAAAAAAAAAAAAATCATAAACTTAAAGTTTGCCCCGACTTATGTCCAAAAAGTTATTTTCAAGAAACAATTTTAGCATTTGTCATATCCTATGATGCCCTGAACCAAGTGGAATAGTAAAATAAGATCAATTAAAAGGGAATAGTTACGGAATTCCACTCGTGATTAAACGGGGATCAACTCCCAAATCACCTGAATTATGAGATATACATTTGCTGGCTAGATTGCTATTGCTGCCACTGCAAGTACAGTATTAAACTTTTATTTGTATATAACTACATAAGCACATATTTTTATTGGTGTTTTAAGTACATTAATATTGACCTCATTACATACAATGCAACATTCAGAGGTTCTCTTTACAAAAGTAAATGGTAAAAATTTCTACCTTCCATAAAAATGATTGCCTAAAATTCAACAGTCTCAACTATAGCGCCTGTGTGATTGAATCCACATGATACTTGCAATGGCTTGACATTCTTTTCAAAAGATACCAAAGTTGGGTTTGCACAGTCCACATCACTGCCATGACCCTGTATGCAACAAAATGCAAGGCACAAAGATCTGAAAATAAAACATATAATTTTTTATTTCAAGACATACAAATTGAGTATGTAAATGAATTCTATCAGTTTGATACTAGGAATATAATTTTTCACTCGACAGAAAATGAGATTCTGAACAGTTGGACATTATGTGCTCAAATTATAAAATAAGGTTTAGATCCTTCAAGTTCCGTTTCCTAGTTATAGCATCTCCAAGTATTCCCTAGACATTAACAGAATTCTTAGATATCATGAATGCCAGCATGAAATTTTGATATTTGATGCCATCAGATAGCTGTAGATTTATGATGCATTGGTAGACATGCAAGCATACAAGTGATGTGGCAGATAAATGTTCAGAGAAAGACTAAAATTTATTATTTTTGAAAAAGTTATTAGTAAAGGGAAAGTGAGAATGATCATAAATGCTTAATTGGTGATATATTCAAGTACTACAGGTCATGGACAAAACATTTTATGGAAAGATGTGGAAATGGAACCAGACCAATTGTCCACCAGAGGAATGTCCATCTTCAGAAAATGTTCCATTTGAACCACCCCAACCCCAAGTGTAGATGTTGCCTTCTGAATATCAAAAATAAACTCAGTATTAGTAAGCAAATATTTCTGCATTTCTGCAGTTTCAAACTCAAGATTAATCCTTGCATTGTAAACAACTCCAACAATTTAAGATGGTAGGTGAATGGGACCAAACAGCATGTAGAGTTACAACTAGAGCAGGATCCAACACCAACTATATAGAGTCAAAAGAGTAAAATTTGTGTAGCATATGAGATGTAACCGCAACAAATCCTGTAATATGGACAGTAAACATGCAAAACTGTAACTAGGCCATGTCTTCTAGACATCTCTAAAGCAGTCGGAATTTAAAATGTCAGAAATTAATTTTTTGAACAGATCTCAATGTCTGATGCCACGCTACTAATTCAAATAATTCAGAAATGAAATGACGTAATCAAATTCAAAATTTCAACTAAAACATTTGCTTACCAGAAATTGCTGCTGTATGCTTCCAACCACAGGAAACCTGTCAAATCATATTTGTTAAACATAAAAGAGGAGATGAAGCTGATGCAAATTTATATGTTGATCGAGGTACCACAATGTAAATTTCAACATGTCATCGTACACTTCAAACTGCTAGAATAGCTAGTACTTCAGGTAAAACGTCACTCGTCATTGCCAAACTGATGATTGATGTACATAAATGTCTGAACTTCATTTACTATTTAGATTGAATCTTAATTAACATATCAAACCTGCCATTGGAGATTTATCCTAGACAATTCTCCACTAGAAAGACGAGGTGGATGAGAAGTACATTTTTCTTTTTTATACACAAAAGATGTCACCTCAGCACAACTTTCTCTCTCCTCTCATCCCACCAAAGCTCTCTCATACATTTCTAGACATGATTGACCAAAGATGATTGTTCAATAAATCATTACATAGTGTGCAAACCTTGTCAATCGGAGATCTCAAAAGATGCCCTTGAACTCTTTCTGGCAAATGAAAGGCATTGGTAGAACTGTGAAACAGAAAACATTAGAGAAGAACATGTGAATGTTCTTCAGCGAGATCTGAAGTCCTTGTGAACATACCCAATACCAAGGCAACCATTTTCATTGTCGCCCCATGCATATAGTTCCCCACCACCTGTTGAAAAAGGAGTTAACAGCAGAAAAAGGTAGCTTGATTGAGCGAGTAATTATAATAAATAGCACAAATGAAAATGAGCAAGCATATAATATGAGAGAGGGGGGGGGGGGGGTGAGCGAGTAATTATAATAAATAAAAGCACAAATGAAAATGAGCAAGGCATATAATATGAGAGAGGGGGGGGGGGGGGGGGGGGGGGGGGGGGGGAGGTGTTAAGGGAACTTGTTTATTTTCTATTAGCAGATGCTTCATTTGTTTGTTTGATAAAGATAATAGAAGACATTAACTTAAGCAACTTATCTAGCTTACAATGAGATGTTGCAATTTTGAGCAAGTCAAGTTAAAACCTAGATAAGGGTAGAAACTAAAATTCAATTAGACAGCATTAGGTAGTTGAAATCTATATGCACTTCCAGGTTGTCAGATATGGTTGCAAACACAATTATAACATTAAAAAATAAAGGAAAAAGATAATCTACAATTATCACTGCTAGAAAAAAAATCTATCATAATCAACTTTCCATTTGGCATCATATCTAGTGTTGGATAGCTTCGCACATTCTAAAGAAACATAACCCCCGTCGCATTAAATTTGTTAGTTTTTGAATTTTCACAAGAATTAAGAAAATGATTGAATCATATCAACTTTTAAAAAAAAGATGAGGATAATTTACTAATTTATCCTTTTAATTAATGCTCATTTAATTGAGACAAAGTTTAGTACAGATATCCAAGCAATTGAAATAACATAATCAATGCTACTTCGATTTTCTAAAGTGTCATCTAATGAAACCAAAAAAAAAAAAAAAAAAAAAAAAAAAAAAAAAAAAAAAAAAAAAAAAAAAAAAAAAAAAAAAAAAAAAACAAAAAAAAAAAAAAAAAAAAAAAAAAAAAAAAAAAACTGACAAATCTAACGGAACAGAGGGAGTAGCATTTTTGTTGATTAGAAAACTAAATCATTAGGTTGAGTAGACCTATAAATAAGACACTAATATCCCCAAAAAATCTTATCCTTTGTGGATCTTCTTTTTGGCATCTTCGGCGTAAAAGTTCTGTATATATATATAGACAAATTAAAGAATTCTCATTGCTAGAATAATTTATCAATTCAGAGAGTTCTACACACACACACACACATAGAGAGAGAAATTCAAATGTCCAGACTCTTTAAAGTTAGATATGACACTAGATATCAAATGCAAGTTTCCATATAATAATAAAAAAGAAGTTGGAAATTGTTTAGACATTTCAATGTCCATACTTTATTTCTCACATGTTTAGTCCAATTTTCACATATTCTAAGCAATTGAAAGATTGGTAATTGTTTTGCAAGTTAATAGTGGTGAGAAGAGAGATAAAATAGAACTCCGCATCATGATCAATAATAATTTTGAAAAACACCATACCATTATTCCTTGTTCATTAACCCAAAGGGTCACAAGCTACTATTTATATACTAATGCCCAATAATGAATCTTATCCTTCACAAATTATTAAAAAGAGCTATAAAATCTTGATAGAGGATCAATAATGAATTCTAGAATTGAAGGAGTATCTAGGTTTCTTGTTCAGGAATAGTGATTTAAAAATAGAGTTGATGTCGATTAAAGTGCTTAGCATTAATAAGTGTATTTCGTACAGATATTTTAGCCAAATTTGATCAATGCTTACCATCTACTTGTTATTTAGACCATGTTCTTAAAAGCCTTTGACCAATGAGAACAAAATACCATGCAAAGTTTAAAATTTAACAAGCCACACACCCCACTCTAAAATTTAACAAGCCAACACACCCCACTCTCCCCCCGCCACCCCCCCCCCCCCACCCCCCCCAAAAAAAAAAGCACGCTTAAAAACCCCCCCCCACCCCCCCAAAAAAAAAAGCACGCTTAAAAAGAAAATGATAACCATGTCATGGTTGGAATTAAGTCAAATAGAGTGAACCTACTTCCTAGTGTTGAGGTTAGGCTTGCAATTGTCATTAAACTAGTTCATCATCTCTTTCTCCATCTTCTTTTGGTAATTCCAATGTTTGAAGACAATAAGAACAACATCCACATATTTGGACGTACTCCAGCTTCCATAGCATCTCCCATGTTTCTATTTGGAGGCAACCTAGTCACTCATAGTGTACCAAATTATAACTGAGATAAAATTCAGATCAAAGTAACTCAACTACAAAAGAGTATTTTAGCCCATGGTTATATAGTGTGATCACCATCTCCAAGAAACAAGGGTTAAAATTTTGCTTCGAAATGAAACTGAATAAGGAAATCAAAAGGTTTGATCCAAGGACATCTCATGCAAGTGAGTTTAAAGGTATAGGAAATTGAAAGAGAGAAATTAAAGAAAATTAAATTTCATTGTGTCACTCATCAAACCAATCTAGAAAGAATTTTATTAGAATAAAATGGAGGGACTTGTACTGCAAGAAACATGCCAAAGTTCTTTGGAATTATGCATTTTTGTAAGATTATGTAATCTTTCAATGAGAAGAAACACATGCATCCTCTAAAATCAGAGCGTCTTTTAGTTTGTTCTAGGACAAAGAGGCGCTACGGCCTCTGTTGCCATATCCTTCTGGAGCTTCTAGAGGATATCTTCAAGTATATCCAACTTGACTGGAAGGCGTTACATTTTTCAGTTTGATTTCATGTTATTATTTGCTATTTTTTGTCAAGTCTTATGACATAATATGCTTAGATGCATAAGCGAATAGCCATATGCATATTCACTGTAGGAACATTAAAAGAAATGGAAAAAGAAAAATTACTTGTGACTACACATGTGTGGTATCCACCACATGCAACTTCTTCAGAACATGGCAATTCGTCTACAATAGATGGTGTTGCAGCATCATTTACATTCCCAAAACCCTAGATTTAAAAAAAAAAAAATCAGAGTTATTGGTCAGATCACATCATATCTTTCCAAACTAAACAACCAAAACCCATGTTTCAAAGGCTATGTTTTATTTCAAAACATTTCCAAGATAGTCATTTTCTTAGACTTCCAAAATTCACAAAAGAATTGTAATCAGTAGAAATCAATAACCAACTATATATTTTCTTTATGCAAGTTTTATTCCTACTCACCACCAATAAAAAGAACAAAAATATGCATAAAAAGAATCTAAAATGTGAAATTCATAATCTACTAAACACAATTAGAGAGAGAGAGAGAGAGAGAGAGAGAGAGAGAGAGAGGGAGAGGAGAAAGAGAAAGAGAGAAACGGGGGTGGGAGAGAGAATAAGAGAAATAGGGAAGAGAAGGAAAGAGAGAGGAATGAGGGAAAACAGAGAGAAATGGAAGAAGAAGAAGAAGGGAGAAAGAGTGAGGAGGGCTTGGTCCGAAAAGTTTTAGTTGTATAAGTTTGTACAGGTCATTTGAAATTCCAACAATTTGGATGAAAATTGGTTTAGTTATGTTCAATTCTACAAAATGAATTTGGAGAATTGAAATGAACAGTTTTTATATACCAAACATGAAAATACGAGAATTCAATTGAATATCAAAAACTTTGTTGATTTTATTTATACCATAGTGTGAAAGAATCTTTTTTTTTTTTTTTCATCTACTCTAAATGCTAAAGAACTTTTTCTAGTTGATTTTCAAGTTTATAACGAATCATATTTTTGGAAAACACTTCCTCAATCTCAAAATATTTTCTAAAAACAAGTTATTTTCAATAAAAAATGATGGCTACAAAAGTAACAAACACTAATTATGGAACTTACGAATTTATCTGCTGCTTTTTCACCAAATACAAAAACAGAGCCATTTGCTACAAAATCCAAAAAATTGAAAACAAGATTTTTTAGTAGTTAATCTATATAACAATGGCTAAAATAATGCAGTAGAAGGCCATTAATTAGAAGAAAGCTCAACACATGCCATCAATGCACACTGAATGAAGCAATCCAGCTGCAACATTTTTAACCTAACAAGCCATGAAGCCAAGAAACAAAAGTTATTTATGAAATAGACTTCCATTTTAGAAAAGACACTATCAATCAAAAATTGAAAGTTCAAATAATACCTTAACTCCCTCGAGTTTCTTAATACGCCTAGGTGTGTACTCACTGCAGAGAGAATATATAAGGATATATAAACAAAACAAGACAAAGGGAAAAAAAAAAAAAAAAAAAAAAAAAAAAAACTGAGAGAGAATATATAAGGATTATATAAACAAAACAAAGACAAAGGGAAAAAAAAAAAAAAAAAAAAAAAAAAAAAAAAAAAGAGAGAGATAGAGAGAGAGAGAAAATTAATGCGAAAAAAAAAAAAAAAAAAAAAAAAAAAAAGAGAGAGAGAGAGAGAGAAATTAATGGCTAGCCAGTGTGAGCAGTTAAAAGAACTCAGGCACTCAGGTCCATCTAAACACCCTCTGTTTATTTCCTAGAGTGTGAGGTATGTATAAAGGGGCAAGAACAACAATGCAAGTTGCTCAAACTTCAAACTGTTAACAAGAGTGAATAATTTTGTATTTCACATCTTCCTTGAAGAATTCAGTATATATGTACACAAATTTAGTTCACCTGTAAGGAAATTAAACAGAATATATGATTCTGCTCCACGAATCAAGCTACACAAATTCCTATAATCAAGCTATTGATTCTTCATATTTTATGTATATACGAGGTTCCACAAGGTTTTTTTAGTAAAGTTTAGGGGTGAATTTATGTATTCAGCCTTTAAAAGATTACTCCCATATCCAGTTACATTGAGTCAAAAAAGTGTCAAAAGAAATTCAACTTATATGGGTGTATATGCACATTTATATTCTACATGGTTAAAAAGGTATTTTGGTCATTATGGAAGTTAAAAATACTGTTACCCATGAATGGTAATTTTTCCTATTGTTTTAGAATATTTATAATGTTATATTAACAACAAACAACTATAGGAATGCAAAACAATTCTATAACTAATCAAGTGAAGTCAATGCGTATGTGACACAGCAATTGTAAGCCAGTAACCGACATATGTTACAACCTTACAACACAAACCTTCTAAAGAGAATCAAACATTTTACACAAAAACTTCTTCTGGAAAATGTTTGAAAGGAAAAATAAATAAAGAAATTGGCAACAAACAAGGCACATGGTTTTCCATCCTGGTAGAAATATCAAATATATATTAGATAGTTAAGAATTTTGATACAAACTAGCATCGGAATTGCATTGGCTTAGTTCACGAAATTTGAAGTTACATAGACAAATAGACGACTCAATAAAGACCACATTCTTAGGTAAAAAATATCAATTACTCAAATGTGCATTTGTGTCATGTCATATGGCCCCATTTTGGTATCCCATCTTCATGGGTCATGCCATAGATAAAAAGTTTTTACTATATTTTAAAACAAAGCACAATTACAAGAGACTCATTTTCCATGAGCCTTGCAACATAGAACTGAAAAAGAAAAAAAAAAGTGAAACTACAATTTTCATCCAGGAGAAATGGAATTACAGATCTACTTAAATAGTATGCAAATAATACATCAATATCATCTCATCAATAAGATTTTGTCCGCATTTTAATTTTACCTTCATCAGGAAATTCTTGCATGACTAAGCAAAGCAAGCTTAAATTTTGAAAAAGGAGAATGAGAAAAGAATATAGTGTTAAACAAAGCAGCTAAAAGAGCATAAAACCCAGTAAACTCAACCTGGAGCTTCTCAAGAACCCTAAGATGCTTGAATGATTCCCATGACCAAGTTGCCCACAGCCTCCCCTTCCCCAACTTAACGTCTCACCTTCATCTAGTGAAACACAAAAGCAAAAGCAATAACAGAATATCTATCTTTAATCATTTAGAGCATTAAGTAAAGGTTGATGTGAGCATTCAGTTAAGCAAAAGCAATAAGTAGAAAATTAAACATAACTGAAACCAAATATTTTGATTCAATATTCAGTAATAACCAATAGTTATAGTTTATAGTTAAAATTTTGTTAATCAAATTTTTACAATATATTATTAATAAAAATATTATTGTAATGAGATATTACTATTAAAAAATAATTTAAAACTATATATTATCAATGTACATGCATAAAAATAATATTTTATATATTAATTAAGAAAAATTCGGTCAGTTCAGTTATCACTTGTGAGGTAACCAAACTGAACTGAACTGAAAACCAAATTTCTCCCCTTTGAAATAACTGAATTTCATCACTTTGGTTTGGTTTTTTTGTTATAACCAAATGCTACATACCCCTAAGTAATAAAAAGTTAACTAGGAAAATATCATTTGAAAATTTTCCATTACCAACCAGTAACAGCAATTGAGTGCTCTGAAGCCAAAGCAGCCTTTTTAATGGTGAGTCCATTCAAGCATTCCACTTTTGTTGGTAGAGGGACTGCTCCTTTTGCTTCTGTATATCAATGTAACATATTTATCATTAAAAATAAGTTCCCATTTTTAATTTTCCATAGTCAAACTAATAAGTAGGTACAAAGTTAAAAAAGCAGAATCCCCACACTGATCTTCCAAACATATAAAAAGCATAAAAGTGGAGAACTTAGGCAATCACAATTGTATGAACACAAGACAAGTTCAGTGGTTACTTTTGCCCAGGCCCAGTTGTCCATTTGAGTTCCTTCCCCACATATAAAGCTCCCCGTCCACTACAAGAAATGGCGTGGATTGTCAAGGAAAGACAAGAATATGAGCACAATACAACCAAATAAACAAAAGAAAAAAAAACTACTAATAGGCACTTCAAATTATGAAGAACAAAATGAATTGAACACCATTACCTAAGCCCCAAAAACTGTTGCTAAAGGCCCAAGGTGCACTAAAGCACAAAGCATCCTGGAGCTTGGGGTCCAAGGCACACAAGTAGGTGTGCGCCTGGTGGATACAAGGCACATCTTGACTTAAAAAAGAAGAAAATTATATTTTCCTAGTTGAATAATAAGATATAACATAGATTCTAATCACATTATAATAATAATAATAATAATAATAATAATATACTAAAAACGCTTCCATAAGTTACTTTCCAGTAACAATTGATATATTTCTCCCTTAAATTAAATTGCACTACTTCTTTTGAGCCATTTATGTTGGCCCTCTTCGCAAAGCAACAAGCTTATTCATCTGCCATCATTTACTATTCTAAAGGGTCCCAACTCCCAAATATCATGCATTTTTTGTTCTGGTGCTAAACCATCTGACATTTCGAACATAAGAGACATATATGTCTATTAAAAGAGTAAAACAAAAGGCTAAATTATAAATTTAGTGTCTGAACTCTCGAAAAATTTCTATTTCAATGTCCCAACAGCATAGTTATTTAAGGCACACCTGAACTTAAGGCTCAAGAGCTTGCGCCTCAATCGCCCTGAGGCGGGCGACTTCACTCAGGCTATCGCCTTTGGGTAGAGGCATGCGCCTTTTGGCGCCTTTTTTGCACCTAAGGCTCGAGAAAGGCGCGCCTTTCTATTTTTTGTTTTCTAGAACAAGTCACCTAGGGTTTTTTTTCAATATAAAGCTATCTAGCCAACATCAGCTTACACAAAGTAAATAAATAAATAAATAAAAAAGAAATAAAATGCAACACAAAAACCGGTGATTTGGTTTGTGATCCAACCTCCACTCCATCCAGCACTCACCTCTTGCATTTAGCCTCATTACATCCAGATATAACTCTTTCAATTTTTCTTCCTATATTTGCTTTCTATTTCTTTTCTTTTTTTCAGTCTTTTGTTATACTCTTTTTTGTCTTAACTTCAATATCTTAAAATATAACTTTTCATGTTGCCATTTTTTTCTGATTTATATGTGTTTCTTTCCATGTTTTCTACTTTTTTCTTTTTTTTTTTTTTTTTTACTCCAAATTATTCTTAAAATATAACTTCATGTTGCCATTTCGATTTATATGTGTTTTTTTTTTTTTTTTTTTTTTTTTTATTGATATCTTAAAACATACTTTTCAGATTTATGTATTTTATTCTTTTTTTTTTTTTTTTCCTTTGCACCTCACTTCACTCAGGCGCGCACCTTCGCCTGGAGGCTAGCGCCTAGGCTCCAGCAACCCTTTGCGCCTTAGTACGCCTTGCGCCTTTACTTACTATGTCAAACGGAAAATGTTTGCAATTAAGTTTATAAATCAATAATTTTTTTCAATTAAGCGTCTCTGTCCTACGTGGTTTGCCGGAAAGATGAATAGGACTTATGAGACCCACTTATTGTTCAAAAAATAGTTGAGTAGGACGATTAGTGGCTGGACACGTCAGATTTCACATGTCAAATAGATTTAGGGTAAAAACAATGGACAAAATTGCCTTAGTAAAAGAAAACGCAAGTTGAATGCTGAGAATGAAAATCAACGCCCTTTCTATTATATTTTGAGTTATTTTCAGGAGAAAAATGAGCAAAAATAGACTTACAGATATTTCTATTCAACTAAAAATCTAAAAGGAAATAATAAACCACTTAATGAATCTTTTTTGGCTTGTGTAGTTCACACTCCTTAAAAGCAAACGTAAGTAAGTTAAAATAGCAGTTTTTTTTTAAATAACTTTCCCGAGAACCAAACAGAATCCCAAACAAAAAAATTAAATACAACATTGGAACTGGTAATAAAAATAATACTTAATAATTTAAAACACATGTAGATCGGGGAAAACAGGGAAAGAGAGTTAACAAAACAAACTAAAAGATACACATTATAGATATAAAATCTAAAATCAAATAGCCATGCATGGATAAGAAAAAAGGTCAAAATGAACAGTAAATAAGAAACAGATAAAATGCGAGCCACGTAGAAACCGTCGTTGCTTAACTAATCGGGGCTCGAGATTGTGAGACTGTGAGCATCTAGGATAGAATCGGTGGAGAATAGAAGGCTTTGAGAGGTTTTGAAGATGAAGAATTTGGGGCTTTGGAGACAGTGGAAGTGTTTGGTACTTGAAAGGGCGTTGATTATCATTCTCAGCATTCAGGTTACCTTTTCTTTTACTAGGGGCAATTTTGTCCATCGATTTTTACCCTAGACCTGTTTGACATGTCAAATCCGACGTGTCAAGCCCCTACTGAACTATTTTTTGAACATTAACTGGGTCCCACGCCACATAGGACGGAAACATCTTATTGAAAAAAATTTATCAATTCATAAACTTGATTACAAACGTTTTCCGTTGAGACACTAAAATAGAAATTTTTCGAGAGTTCAAACACTAAATTTATAATTAAGCCAAAACAAAAAACTAATAGATGTTTTACAACATTAAATCAAAAATATTAAGGAAGAAAAAACAAAATCCAAATCAATTTAAAAAAATAGATTATTTAATAAAATAAATTCAAATGCATTAAGATAATTACTCAATTTACTAAATCAAGAAACTATATTTGATAACAAACCTAATAAACAAATTACATAATTAAAGTTCTAAATTATATCAGTAATCATTTGATCTCAATTACTTTTTTTTTTTTTTCTTATATATAACTCTTCATGGTTACTCATTTCTTACAGTCTAATAAAAAGTTATCATTGACTAACGACTAATAGAATAAGAAACAATTATAATAATTTCCTCTATCAATAACAAAGTAAAATTTTGATTTATAAAAAAAAAAAGTTTTCAATGATTTTCTCACAACATCATGTATTCTAGCTTGTATTGTCTAAAAAATATAGAATACAAGATGTAGTAAATAAAATGTTGTGTGAAGAGAAATTCTCATTCATGTGTGAAAAAGATAGTTACAAGCCTATTTATACATAGGACTAAGGTTATAAGAAAAAAAACCTAAAATACCCTTTACAATCAATAATAATCTCCTAAAATAGACAACTATACAAGACAACATAAACAATTATCAGATCAACCTAAATACTCATAAATTTGAGCAGAACACATCCCAAGCTCATATTGCAGCAATCAGCATTAAAGCATCACAAACACAAGTCAAAATTTTGTTAAAAATTGTAAAAACTAAGAATTTTTTACTATAATGAAAAGAACAGCAAATACTACTAAAGGTCATCAATGTTTTATATAAAATAACCAACAAAAGGTGCAATTATAAGCGTATATGTCAAGGTTAATTTAAAATAAATCGAAGTATCAAAATTGAAACCATATATAGGTCTTAATAAATACTTCTTTTTGGGTAATATTTCTTTTGTAGTAATACTTGGAATAGGATAGTTGAAAGCTTCGGTTTTCGAAATAGGTTTTAACAACACTACAACAGCACTACACAAGGATTTTAGCTTCCCGTTTATACTATCACCTCCCACCTCCACCCCTCTCTTCGAGAATTGGGATAGTTCAAAAATGTATACGTAATGCCCTTACATAATGGTAATGCATGTTACTGACTGTTAACTAAGAGAGAAAATAAAATGGGAATCATAGTTAGTCTTGCAAAGGTTCTAAGCTTCTCTTGTACTTATGCTGAAAAACACTTGATTATCTTTTATGGCTTATGAAACTTTTACATGCTCAAATGTCCCGCTCACTTGTTGCATACCAAAAGCTAAAAACCACCCAACAATAATACATCAAAAATGTTATAGGGCACCGAATGCCCAATATGTTGACGAGACAAATGTTGTAAAGATGTGAATGTCAAAACAGATGTGTGATTACACAAGATTGGATGAGATTAGAAATGACCATATTCATCAAAAGGTGCAAGTAGCACAAATTGGAGATAAAATGAGAAAAGGACATCTGGACGATTCTGGCCATGTCTTGTTTAGACCCTTAAATGCCAGTTCAAAAGTGTAACACATTGGAGCCGGAGGATGCTATATGGAGAGGAGGAAGACCTAGAATCACATGGTGGAAAATTGTCGAAAAGATTTTGTCTCTTGACATTAGTCCAGATTTAGCTATGAATGGAGTAGAAAGGAAACAAATTATTCATATAGTTGACCCTAACTAGTTTCGGTCTAAAGGTTAGTTGGTGACGTTGTTATTATTGCAAAAATAAGCTAAAAAATTCCACTTCAGTCCTTATTTTGCAAGTTTCTTTTAGAATTTAGAACACCCCTTTTGATGGTTATAAAACTAAGGCTAGATTTTTTGAGTACTTCATTTTGCTTCGCACTTAATCAACACATAATTGTTGTAATAGTAGTATCCATAGAATTTAGCCAAATTCTTGCAAATGTATGTATAGAATTAACACACAGTTGTTTTATATATATATATATATATATATTGGTATAGAAATTAACACACAGTTGTTTTATATATTACTATAAATATATACTACTTCCTATATATACACTACATACATACACTACATACACACTCAAGTCTTTCCTCCAGTCACCCTGAAAAAATCAATAAAAAAAATTCTAAAAAAAAAGTGCGCAACAGCCATGGACCCATCACATTTACTACTCAGATAAACGGCAGCAATAATTCTGACATAAGCCTTGAACCTCAATTTAAATTTATGCCTCACTCCAGAAAGAAACGAAGGAAAAGAATAAAAATAAAAATCCTCACTCAGAAAGAACAAGGAAAAAGACTCAAATAAAAATGCATAAGTCCATCTACAACTATCCACAACATGATGACATCACATGAAATTCTAGAGAGATGCTAAACACAGATGCTAAAGTAGCGCCGCCAACTATACTAACAGATGCTTAAGTTCATATATATATATATACATACATACATACATACATACACACTAGTTTCCTAGTACCCCTGTAAAAAAATAATAAAAAAAATTAAAAAAAAAAAGTGGCAACAGCCATGACCATCACATTACTACTAGATAAACGGCAGCCATAATTCTGACATAAGCCTTGAACTCAATTAAGATTTATGCCTCACTCCAGAAAGAAACGAGGAAAAGATAAAAATAAAAATCCTCACTCCAGAAAGAAACAAGGAAAAGATAAAAATAAAAATGCATAAGTCCATCTACAACTATCAACAACATGATGACATGCACATGAAATTTAGAGAGATGCTAAACACAGATGCTAAAGTAGGCCCCACTATATACAGATGCTAAAAGTTCATCTTTACTGCAATATACTTCAGGTCAAAGCTTACAAGAACGCCGGTAAAATCTCCAGCAATTGCCGTCAAAAGATTTTCAGCTATCCCATATAACTTTTTGGAATTAATCTTTTTACTTCAACTCTAATTTTAGTTTCAGAGTTTCTGACAGCAAAGGTTTCATATCCATTACCATTATTAGAATGATGCTAATTATTTCCCTCAACAGTGCACATGGTTTTAGCTCTTCATACATCACTTAGAAGCAAAAAATCCATCTTAGCAATACACACCTGTAATAGCACAAGAGTGGTGATAACCAGCTGAAATTTGTATTATCTCCTTCTCGAGTCCAGAGACTTCAATAGGTTTCTGCAATGGTGAGACAAGTGGAAAATTTAAATAAAAAAAAGCCGAAAAATACCATCTCAACATAGATCATCATAATTACATATTACATTATATTTCAAGTCCTCGTAGAGTTATATCTCAAACTACTTCATAATGCAAAAAAGAAGTATGATTCTCACCATAATTACAAGGAAATCAAGAAAATTCAAATTCCAAGGCTCAAAAAATTATGGTCTATATTTTATCTAAGATTTATTTTACATATTACAGTATATTTCTAGTCCTTGTAGAGTTATATCTATATGTCTATTTTAATAAATAAGTTGTTAGTCGAGAACTTTAAGTTTATGGGGAAATTCTTAATTTCAGCTAGCTGGATTTATTTAGGAATTTGTATTTATCTTAGGTCATCTCAGAGTCCTCGTGTGAGTTTAGAAAATGGTATTCTTTTTTATGTTTGGGATTCCAAATCCTTGAAGGATGAGAACTAGTTTTCAAGCCCTGCTAAGTCAAGGTTTAGGATTAGCTTGGACTTATAAATACCCAAGGTTAAAATGCATTTCAATTGAGTTTTCAGTCAATAAAATTACAGCATACTGTACTTTTATATTTTGGTTGTGTGATGCAATTCTAACACTAGAAAGTGTAGTTATCTCTTGATAGGAGTGAGCATAGTTGTCAAATCCAGATTCGAAATTCTTATTTTTAGAATCGAGATCGTGAACCGAATCGTAAGATTTAGTACAACTTTTCAACACTAATTAAAACAAATGCATATAAATTTATGGATACATTTCCATTAATTTTAGCAAAGGTTACTAAAAATTTAATTGCAAATAATGTATTTATATAAATTTCAATTCCAAATCATGTATTAAACGCAAAATGAAAGAGAATCTAATGACTTGTGTAGTTGCCAAGTTCAAGATATCAACCTATGAAGTTAAAATTTTAAAACAAAAAAAAAGTAAAATTATCATGCCGTTAAATTTCCTATCCAAATCTATATTTATTCATTATCATTTCCAAACTCAAGCCCTTTGTCATCTTTATATTCTAATATAACTATATTCTCTTGCTCTTATCTTTCTGCATTGACTTTTCCACTTGTTTATTGGGTAAGATAATCACTGAGCGTGAGAATCAACTCAAATCGTGAGATTAGAATATGATTCATGCTCAATTCCTATTCACCCATAATATTTGAATCGTTTAGTATGAAAATTGAATCAAATCAATATGATTCAAATCGTGAACCGTAAGATTCTGATACCACTAGGAGTGAGTGCTAGAGTCCTATGAGTGTGATGCTAGTAGTTTATTTTCATTTGCTTAATTTTTGCTTTATTTTCTAAAGGGGGCTTTTGGTTCAAATAATTCATAAAACTAATAGCTGATTTTTACACATAAGGTACGTTAAAAGTGTTTGGTAAGGATTTTGGTTAGCGGCTGATTCTATCAGCTATATTTGGGCACTTTTTCTTATCAGTCGTTAGTTAAATCGTATTTATATTATATTTGGACTTTATTGACCTTATAAAAATAATAAGTACAAAAATTATCCTTTTTTCAAATTAATATTTTTATATGATCATTTTATTTATAGTTATTTATTTTTAAATAAATATTATTAAACATTATTATAAAAATTTAATTAAAATTTTTCATTTATATAACACATAAAATAGAAAATAATATACTTACTTCAATATAAATATGTGTGTCATGGCACATGATAATTTATGAAATTAATTAGTCTTCAAGGTCATTTTAATTTTAATAGCAACCGCTATTAAAATTTTACCAAACAAACAACATTAAATAACTAATAGCTATCGGCCACCAGCTATCAACAACCACTATTAAATATACTAGCTAGTACGAACAGCTAAACCAAATAGACTCTAAACAAATTCATATATGCACCAATCATATTCAAGCCCTAACTCTTGATTTCTATAAGTCCTAACCCAAACTTCAAGTTTTCCCAAGCAGTAATTCATCAACCTTTTTCAAGCATTATAATGCATGCGTTTATTTACCAATGGGAGTCCAGATGTTTAGAGTCATGGGACTAGTGTTGAGGTCTTTTAATTTAAAAGGTTTAGGATTAATATGAGACTATAAGTGCCTATGCTAGTAGTGCTTTATATTCGATTTTCAGTGATTAAATTCCTAAAAATTATGCTTGTATTATTGAGTTGTGTGATGCAATATAACCCAAAAAGTGTGAAGCTTTCTTAATAGGAGTGAAACCTAGATCAAACTACCCTGAGGCTCATTTTTATTTTAGTTTGGCTATTTTCCATTGTTGTCCCAAACACTAACCAAAATCCTCCATTTAAGTTTTAAGCAATAATTCTTGCATTGTACAAACCCTCGACTATTCTCTAAGATGGCATTTGGTTACAAGACTGCACCATTCTGATGGAAAATCACTTTCCTAGGAAAGTAGATTTTGGGAAACTAATTATGGAAATGCTAAATTTTTATGTTTGGTTATAACTAACTTTTCCCCATGAAAATGTACAATAATTGTAATTTAATGAATTTATGAAAAGATAAATAAAATTACAATAGTACCATTAATTTATGTACATTTTCTTCAATTGATATTCTAGAATTATACTATAAAATTATAAGCACCAGCTCGATAAAATTCTTTCTAATAATTGACTATTATAACATAAATATTAAAATAAGCATAACATAATAACAATTTAAAAGAACTGAAGTCCAAAGAAATTTTGGTCAAAATTAATCAATGAGTTATTTTATTATTAATGGTAATAATGTCCTTAATCGCTCATGTACATGGGAATATAACTTTTCAACCTCTCTAAATAGGAAAATACTTTACCATAGACATGAGAAAGTAAGGCTATATTCATAAATCTAGGAATATATCTTCCTCGAAATTGTAACATTCGTGTATCAACCAAACACTAAAATCTTACGTTCTCGAGTTACTTTCCCATGTTATTCCAACAACCAAACACCTCCAAAAGTCAAAATTTCTTCATTCCTTCTACATCAATAACACTAGGTGAAACATAAGTGAGTTTCGACTTGTTAAATAGTAGCTAGCAAATCAAAGGCAACAAATTAGATTACATGTGTCCAAATTAACAAAAATACTTGCTTTTATAAAAGTTCATCTCTTGATTAAGGGTGTCTATAAACTGCCAAAAACCGCCAAATAAATCCAAAACCATGATCTTGAAAAGTTGGAGGTTTGGTTCAGTTTGTAAAATTCAAAGAAACGAAAGAAGGAACCATGTGGTTTGGTCTACATTTTTCAGATCAAAACCACCAAACATGAACCGAGCAGAACCGAAAATAAGGCTTTTTTATATTTAAAAATTGTTTATTCACTACAGTAACAAAATAATATAAACTTTTCATCATTTGTCCTTAAACTCAACAAAAGTTATTTAGGATATAAAAGACAACTATTTTTTATATTAGCAAAAGCTTGTTCATCCACCATTATGCATCTCAAGTCTTCATTCATATTTGGTTGGTTGGTTTGAGTACCCTTCACAATTTGGTTTGGTTTGATTTGGCTTGAATTTTCAATAAACTGCCATTGCAGGTTGGTTTGTAGAAATCTTCCCAACCGAACCATGAACATTCTTACTTATGATTATGCATGACAAAAATAATCAAACAAAATGGAAAAGATGTATAATAATAAGTTCAGTTGATATTGCTTTATAAGTCAGTCATAGATAAATGAGGAAAACCAGGGAAGCATTTTGAGAAAGGTCAAGGTAATGTACCATAATATAAGTATCATTGCCCGATACACCAAGCTGGCCGAAGTCATTAAGACCAGCAGCATAAACATGCCCCTCTTCTACAAAAGTGAGACAGTAATTTGTAAGCATCTGATGGATCATGGATAGAAACTTGAAAATTTTTTGTAAAGAATGACTTTTTAATTAACCAGGATATACATTTAGTCTCGTAAAGTAGGAAACAAATAAACATGTTCAACTATACTCAGTTGTCAAATATTATAAATAAGTTACTGTTTACACCCTAAAACTCAACATTTGTGGCTTTTGGATTTGAGGGAAAACCACATGAGATTACTAGATATTATTGATGATCAATAGCTCACTAGTTAAGAGTGTGAGAGGTTAAATTCAACATTTTCAAGCCCCAGAGAGTGAAGCATACAAAGGCTAGCATCCTAATCTTCTTCTAAGGAGAGAATGCAACCTCACTACCTAAACTTGGGCACTAAGTACAAAGAATACTGTAAATATCTCTTTTAAAAGGGTCAATACTGTAAATATCACTTTTAAAAGGGTCCCACCCTTCCCCTTTATTTTCCTTAAATTTACTTCTGTTTTGTTTAAATTCCTGCTTATACTTTTATTGCTCTTTCAAATCTTGCTCAGTATTTAAGTTGGTTGAGTTGATTTTAGTGCAGTTCCAAACTTTTTCTCTTAATCTCTTACTATTTGTATTCCTTTTATGTTATTCTTTATGAATAAGGTCTGCTGACATTGAAAATCCTGCATTTATACCTACAGTTTTAAGTATTTCTGTTCTACCATTCATATATCTGGTCTACTGTTACAGATCTACAGTGGCTAATTTTAGCTCCTAATTCTTTAGCAGCAGATCTGTAATTTTTTTCTTTTTTTTGGCTAGCTTTACAGATACACTTCTTTTTATGTATCTTAATCCTTTAAGAAGTCCAATTCAAGCTATTTTTATTTTCAATCTCTTACATCTGCTTTACTTACTTTTATTGTTTGCCATCCATTTTACCTAAATTAAATCCTAAAAGGATTATTCACCCACAATGATTGACCAATAAGGAACCCAATTAGTATAAATTCAAGATTACAAGCCCTTTTCCACTTTAAGCTAAGATTGATTGATTCCCATGGCTAGGTTTTCTTAGGAAGTATAGAAGGATTTTAGGGGGCAAACTGTTCCATCAATAAAAAAAAATTTTTTTTTTTTTGGTTCACCATCTTTCATTAGTTTCTATTCTAATATCTGCATTGTGAAACGTGCTAATTTTTGTCCAACAAATATAGAACCATTTTTGTCGGTTAATGTGGTATGTAGTGTTAAATCGCACAACACATTGAGTTCAGCAAATCAACCAATCTTGATGTCAACCTAGATTACAAATTTCCTCAAACAGCCACATATAAATTATCAGGTAAAGAGGAAATATAAAAAAAAAATACAACCTCCAATCATATGCTCATTAGCTATATATATATATATAAAAAAAAAGAAAAAAAGCATTGTGTTAACCTACACAAATTCTCTACAGATGACTAATTAAATTTAATCGCAACTTCATCGAAATTTCACTTCTTGTCAATTTTCTTTCTAAAATCTAACTTCAGCACATAAAACAGCAATCGAAATCCAAAAACCAAACAATTGAGATGAAATCAGAAGCAAGATAGAGATTTTGAGAACCTGTTAAGAAGAGAGTGTGAGCTCCACCACAGGCAATGGACTTGAGGTCTTGATTTGAGAAGGAAGAGGTACGAAGAAGCTTAGGCCTCCATTGAGAATCCAAACATCCCAAACCCAACCTCCCGAAATCTCCATTTCCCCACACCGCCGCATATTTCCTAGTCGACACGCTTGACATCCATCTTTTATATTTGCTGTATCTTCCGATTTGTGTCAGGCTTCTACTCCGCACAATCATATTTCCTAAATTTTCTCCTCGCTTCTGTTTCGGAGTATAAAACTATCAAAAATATTCGGGTACATTCGGGGCCATTCGCCACATTCGAGTACGTTCCTTGTAGCTAAATTAAAAGCATTTGGTAATTGTTTTAATTCGCGGTTACTAGTTAGTTGATAATAAAGTTAAATCTTCTCGTCAAGATATCTATTATTATTACTAGTCGTTATTTTGAGAAATTGTTATTTTTTTTAAAAAAAATTTAATTTACAATGTATAAGTATCAAAAAATAATTATTCTACAAACTCTCAAATTATGCATGAATAATTATAGACATTATTATATAATCTAAAAGAATTATGTATCTTTTTTTTTTGGGAAAAAATAAGAATAAAAAAATAAATAATAGATTTGGAAACAATTATAAAAAAAATCTTAATTTTTTAATTTTATATAAAATATTAAAATCAAAAAAATCAAAATTAAGATTAATATTTTGACAATTTTATAGAATTATAAACAAATCTTAATTTTTTAATTTTATATAAAATATTTAAAAGAAAAAAATCAAAACTTAAGGTTAATATTTTGACAATTTTTTTAAATAGTTTAGTAATTTTTAAAAGAAAATTATTAGATATAATTTTTTAATATTTTAGATAATAAAATTAATTTTAAATAATACGATCAATATTTTAAATACAAGTTATAAGATATTTGATTTTTAATATATTAAATGTTATTTTTTATTTAAATAAAATAAAAATAAATCCTATAATTTTTTCATAAAAAATAAATCTTTATTTTTAATTATTTTTATTTTATTCCATGCTTCCAACTCTTTGATGTTGCTTTTACATGATCAATTCCATCTATAGAAATTATTGATTACTCCAGAGGAAAGAGTTGGATTTTATAAGACAAAATGTCATTATGACTATGGTTGAAGTATTCACACGAGATACAAATTTAAGGAACCTATAGAAAGAAAATTAAAAGATAAAAATACTATGGTGTTTTCATTTTGCTTAGGTCACTTTCTAATGTGCTTATGGGTCCATATGCACATATTTAAGAAAAGTAATTAATTTATACATACTCCATTAAGTAAAACAGGTAATGATTATTGAATTTTTAATAATTAAAATAAAATTAATCACTTAAATGCTACTTGTAATGTGGCTCATGCAACTAAAATTCTCAGACATTTCCCAATCGCAATTTGCATTGCAGTAGATCCATGTAACATTAGAATCAACTAAGCATTGAAAATTATCATAATAATGATTTCAATAAATTAAACCCTTAATGTTGTTTATAGCTTAGCAAGGTGATCATTTGATTTTTTTTCATCGGAACCAAATAGGCACTAAAAGCTAATCAAATACACAAAAAACACACCTCAAGAATACATAACCAGCAGGTTTTGTTACTGCACAACATAGAAAAACTATAGAGTATACAACTGGTTATGTATTCTTGAGGTGTGTTTTAAAACCTGCTGCCTTACAGCGACAGCAGCGCGACAAGCAAGTAAGAAGGAGCTCGGATTCTGAGACTCCAAACATGGCCATTATTATTGGCAGGCTGGAACATGGCTCGGGTGCCTCATTCGCTTTCATATTAGAGCACATTTGGCGGGTCGCACAAGGTATACCGGAGACCCATCTCGTGAGCCCATATTGGATGACCCCGCCAGATTGCACCAATGTATGTCTTCTTCCCTTTTCTCTGTCAACAAGTTTGTATTATTTCACTCTCTTATTGGTTGCCCCTGTGTGATTCGATAGGTTTCGATCGCTGACAACAATGAGGTTAGTCAGTTGTATGAGGTGGCACGCCTCAAGCTGACGATAGCTAGGCTCTCGGACGAGCACATATATGTAAGTATAGAAAATAACAAAACAGATAAAAGTATGCAATGTGTATGCCATGTATGCATGACATGTAGTTACTAAAGATCTATGAATGTATGCAGAAAGCTAGCACGACGCCTTTAGTAGGTCGAGGCTGAGTTTTTCAACGTGGCAAGCGAGCTGGTTGTGGAACTGGATGTAGACGAGTTATAGTTGAATAGACCAAGGAGTCTGGCAGTGACGACTTAGAGGAGACGGCTTCCTATGCATCCTGAGCTGGCTGCCCTTATCCACTTTCTTTTCTTTTTGTTTCTCTATACTTAGGACCTAGTTTGGGAAATAATATTTGTAAAGAATCAGATATTCTTATTTATATGAAGGCAAAGCCAATTTCTTTATAAATTCTTGAGCTATGATGGTTTGTTTTTATTTTATAACTGATGTTTGCACTGCTTGTCAAGTCTGAAAGTCGAAATACAACAAAGCAGTGAAGATTCCAGTTGTTTGCTACCTAGTGGCATGCACCACTGTGGCTGCACCTTGCGCCACACATACCATGCCTTTTAAATGATGGTATGCCCTTTTTTCATGATGATTTGTGTGTGTGCCAAGTTGGTTTGAGTACCCTTGCTAAGTCTTAAGAAATGGTGAATTTCCTATGACTTAAGTCATAGGTATTTTTAGGAAATTGAATGAGAATATGCATGCTTTAAGTATATCTATTTTTCTTTAAGTATAATAAATAATTTGAATGAGTTGAATGTGAATTATGAAACTTTTATGGTAAAAATCACATTTATGACTTGTAACTTCCTATAATTTGAAAATGTCAAATCTTCGAGTAATTGCTTAAGTATGTGCATGCTTAGAGTTTAATTATGCTTTTAAGTATATAATTGATGTTTTGGTTGAATTACATGTGAAAAGTATGGCTCATATGATGAAAGCCCTTTTTTATGCTATAGATTTCCTATGACATAAAATTTATGAACTTTAAAAATTTGTACAAGACTTCGCATGTTTAGAGTATAACTATGCTTCTAAGGATATAATTAAGGCTTTAGTTGAGTTGCATGTAAAAACAAAGATTTATATGATAAAAAAAAAACACATGAATGATATGTACTTTTCCTACGATTTGAAATATGAGAAATTCTATATGCTTTATGATTTGACTTGAATTTGAGTTAAGTAATTTATATAAAATGAAGTATATTAAAAGAAAGTAAAGTTTAAATTTTGAGGAAATGCTTTTAATGAATATTTCAAAATGACTATTTTTCCTATGAGTAAAAATTGGAAATTTCGGAAAAATTTTTAAAGAATTATTTATGAATAAAAAACACATGAATGAACTCGTACTTTTCCTACGATTTGAAATATGAGAAATCCTAGTACTGCTTTATGCATTTGACCTGAATTTTGAGTTAAGTAATTTATATAAAATGAAGTTATTAAAAGAAAAGTAAAGTTTAATTTTGAGGAAATCGCCTTTAATGAATATTTCAAAATGACTATTTTTTCCTATGAGTAAAAATTGGAAATTTCGAAAAAAATTTTTAAAGATTATTTAATGAATTAAGGTGTTTTAAGCAGTGCTTGGAGAATGAAGCTATGTGGTCCGTAATCATGTATGGCACAACCAAAGAGGGGGGTGAACCTTGGGGTTTTCTAAAAATAATATAATTTTAGAATTTTAAAACAAAATATAGAAATTCTAAGGCACGCGGAAAAGTATTATGAAATTGTAAGGATAAGTTATGGATTATAGAACTTCCTCACAATGTTCCTATTCATAAAAATAGAAAAGAACTAATGCAAAAGTGACAGCTATTGTTAGACTATTCACAGTGCTTATTCATGGTCAGAATTGCATTTTAAAATGCAAGGAAAGCCTATTGTAATTAGACACTTCTCATAAAGTTTAAGAAAATCCATATAAGACTGTTGAGAGACAAGTTATTGGAAATTAGAAACCACTTCATACAAAGGCCTTAAATCAAGTTTAAGAAAACTGATTATACAAATCCACATCAGTGAAAAAAAAAAAAATATACTGAAATAGAGGAACAATTAAGAATTACATATTCAACTTATCAGAATTCCAGAGTTCTAATTATTCAGCAGAAGATCAAGACTTATTTCCAATTTAGAACATCAGAACATTAACAACTTCTAATGCAATTTCTAAAAATATAAACAGACAGTGTAAGTAAAGTCAGTATCAAGCAAACTTTTAGAAATTAAAAAATCAACACGTGATTTTATAGTGGTTCGGCACTAATATCGCGCTACATCCACTCCCCACAGACTCATCTGAGATCCCTCAAACTACCTGTTATTCTTTTCAGGTAAGAGCAAACAACAGTACAAACGACAATACGATTCAACCACCTAGATCTACCCTTATCCACTCAGATTTTTTCCAAAGGTTCTAGTTAACCTCAACCCTTTCTTGTTTTTGGCAGAACGTACAGAAACTCAATTCAAGACATTAAGAATCTCTCCTCACGGCACGGAGAAGGTTGCTTGATAACCTCTTTTACAATAGCTTTTCACCTAAGCTATTACACAAATGTTTATCAAATAAAAACCTGTCTACTAAAGATTACAGAATTTAAATAGACAGAAAGAAATGCAGATATAAGTACAGGAAAAACAGTTTATCAGATTAGAAAATCGTTTAGAACACAGAACCGTTTTTCAAAAGTAGTTATAAAAAAAATCTTTTCTCTTTAAAGATAAAAACGTGAAGTATAAAGATGAAAAGAAAAATGGGGGTAGAGAGTAAGTTTGGAGAGATAAAAGATGTGATCAATGGAAGAATACTCTTAAAACGAAAACTCTTACTTCCGCTTAGTTCAAAGAGTGAAAACTCCTTTTATAGAGAAATTTGTGACTCTCGCTTTTGGAAAGTGGATATTTCATTTTGAAAATAGAATATTTGCTTTCCTAATTTAGAAGATACGAAAATCTTAATTATCAAAAATTTATTTTATCCTTTTGGTAAGAAAATAGGAGACGATCTTCCTTTCCTTAAACGTAAAGATTTTCGAAAGCATTTTATTTAAGAAATATTCTTCGAAAAGATACTACTTACTAAAAACGAAAAAGATGAGATCTTCCATCGTTTTAGGTAAGAAAATAAATTGAAATTCTTTAGATCTTCAAAGATAATTTCCGACAAAGAAAGTATACGATTTATTACCAAAATCGTTAGAGACATAATCTCTTTAATTTTAGGTAATTGAATCATTTTGATTTTTAAAG